TTGCCACTCAAATGATATGTCAAATGATAGTCACTGTTCTTGTAGGGTAAAATATGTATACTTTTTTATTTTAACACGTAAGATGGAAAATTTTCACTGTTGCGAACTGCAGCGAAAGTTTTAAGAAAAAGATAAGTACAGAAATGGATTTTGCATACCGAAAAACCCCTTACAGCCATGATATATCAAATTTAAGCACATCACTACGACACTACAGCAAAATGCTAAGTAAAAGAAACCTATTTTCGCAATTTGGCAAGCTCCAAATTGATTTTAGACCCTTGGTTTCTTCGGCAAATTTGCGTAGAGTTACACGCAGAGTCCTCCCGTACTATACGCTTTTAGTCGAAAAAAATTCACCCGCCCTAATGTACATACATGCATATCGTTAGCTTAGAGTGAAAAGTTGCTAAGACCCAATTTAAAAATTTTAAGGAGAGGAAAAAAACTTCTTACAGCCACTTTCTTCAAGTATTTCGCAAAATTTGTAATACAATATTTTTTTTTTTTGTTTGAAGCAAAGCAAAACTTGATACGAATGAGAGGGGTTCGATCTTTATTAAAATATTTCGTACTATTTTGGCCTTATCGAGTAATATTAAAATACATATTATTAAATAAATTAGAAGACATGTGCACATACATACATGCATATGTAGTAAAGATTGCATTACTTTCAAATATATATCCTAACATTTACTTTCCATTCTTAGGCGTCGCAGCCTTGGCGGTGGCGTTACGCTCGAGCTTGGCGTCTACGCACTACAGTTTGCATTATGGGTTTTTGGACACGCACCGCACAATGTGAGTGCCAATTCCAAATTAAATGAGGATGATGTTGACGAGGAGGCGCATATTGTAATGGATTTCGGTTCGGGCCATAAGGCGGAAATAATGCTTAGCAGCACAAAACGACTCGACAACAAGGCGGTGATAAAATGCAGCAAAGGCAGCATAACTGTGAGTGTACTGCGCTGAAAGCTGTGCACATAAAGGTATTTGATCTACAAATTTTCACTTTTTTAACTAAATAGGTGCCCGATTACTAGTGTCCGGTCAAAATAATAGCCTTTGATGGCGAGGAAAGACCATTCCCCTTGCCTAAAAGTGACCTGCCGACATACTTTCCTAATCGGCTGGCATTGAGTTTTGAAGCAGAGGAAGTACGGCATTGGAGCGTAAGACGCAAAGTGAACTTCTCAATCACAAGGAAAGCCTGTTACTATCGTCTATTGAAGATCAAATTCGGAGGAAATCGGGCGTCAATTATACGGAGGATAAGAGAGTGAATTAGTGCTAAAAGTTGACGTACGAAATTACCTGAAAGTGGGTACCTACATCCATTTATATTAAAACTAGAAAGAGTTATGTTTAGCAATGCATATGTACGCATGTATTTTTCTTAACGCTTTTTATATTCCAACTCATCCTCCCATTCGTCCTCGTCATCTTCCGCGTCTTGTTGCCGATTCAGCTCACGTTCAAACAACTCTTTGAATGCTTCAAATTCCGCCAAACTGACATGACAGACCTTGGTAGCAAACGCTTTCTCTGATGTGTTAGTTATTTGATAAAGCCGCGGATTTTTCGACGGCTCATCGGGATCCACTTTTAGGGGACGCGGCTTAAACAATCCCAGTCTTTCAAGGAAAACGTGCCTGCAACGTATCTCATCTAGCGATTTTGACAATGCTTCTGATTTTATGATTTCAGGCACTTCAACCCGCATTACATGCTTAAGATACTGCACTTTTTCTTCTATATGCCGCTCATGCTGTTCCAGTAAATCGGGACAAGTCATTAACAATTTCCAAACATTTTTGTTAGTACCCGCAAATGACTTCAAGTAGCCCATCTGTTTTCGCAGACGCAGCTCATCGGACACATCCAAAAACTCTGGATATTTTGTTAAAAGCAAAAACATGAATTTCTCACCGAATTGACAGCTGCGCCAATGTTCAATTGCTTCAGTTATACGTCGTGTAGGGCGTGAGAGCACCGCTGGATTGCCGGTGACAATGCGCAGAAAATCGCTCGTTTGCAAACCGTGATTCATAAAAGTCTCGTGTGCTAGTTGCCATTGGGTGGCAGGTACTCTAGCCAGCAATGGATTTAACTGGACCGCCTCGTTAATATGTTCTTGTTGCAAGACGGTGTCGTTGGCCGGTGCTGTGGCTACGGAGCGGTACTGTGACAACTGACAGCGGGTGAGCTAAAGCAGAGAAAATTCGTTGGTTGCCTGCTTATTATAAAGTTCCTTCGCACTTACCTGCCCATTTCTGTGAATCGATTGCACATTTTGGTTGAGTTTGGAAAGAAACTGTCGGATCATTACGTTGAATTGTAAAAATGCAGGTGATAAAAAGTGCGGCGAATTTAACAGCTGAGCTCCAGAAATACCGTATCTTAGGGCTCTCTCACACGGTCAGTAATTATCACGATATTTGGATCGCGATCCATATTGATGGATTGATGGATAGCGCTACATGTTCAATATTTATCGCGTCAGTATTTGCATAATTTTTGTGCTGAACGCTTATTATGACGCAAGAAAACATTTTAATTTTGTACGTATAATTTACAGATAATACATTCCACAATTATTTTAAAATTTCCAATGTTAACCTCGTGCTAGTAGTATAAAATTAGTGCTGCCAACCCCAATAAGAATGATCCAAATCGTTTTCGTGAGAAACGATCTTGATACTGAGCTTGATAACCCAACTATTGATAGCTAGAACCATGATAAAAACATTAGTTGCGTTCCAGATGCTTCACGAAATTCACGATTTGCAGGAACAGCTGTTTTCTCCATTAATAAACCTTATGGGAAGTGGTCACCTGGAACGACTTCCTGTAAAAACCTGCAAATCGTGAAGCATCTGGAACGCAACTATTACAAGGTAAATTCATTCTCTCAATTCGTCGGCCATGATTTTGTTTTGACGTTTGCCAACGTTTTAAAATCAAATAAAATTGAAAATAAAAAAAATTAAATTGTTCACAATTGTTTTTTGTTTGAGATTGAAAATGAGAATGGCCCGTAGTCATAGTCAAAATAAAGTCGTCTTTAAAGTTAGTTGCAGCTTTTTGACATAATTTTCAATGGGATATCTGTCAAAAAAGCTGCAACTAACTTTAAAGTCGACTTTATTTTGACTATGACTACGGGCCAATGTGTGTGTGAGTTTGAGTTTTGATTTTAAAATAATATTGTTGGCAAACGTCAGACTGCCTCTCAATGGTTTTACCTTGTTATGTTTTTATCATGGCTAGGAATATTGGAAGTTAAGTAAAGTCCTCAACGAAGATTATCCTGTAAAACATTCTTTCGATGTTGTCTATTCCTCCCATTCCTTTAGTGGATTGAACTTAGTGCTCACGCAAGGTTGGACTTATGAGGTGTACTTTTATCATTTGTCTTAGGGGATCCATCGTAGGAAACTCAGTGAGACAAAAACAGGCTGGGAAGAAATTGCTTTAGAATCGGGTTTAAAACGAATATATATCTTGCGTTATCAACTCAGTGCTTGGTTTAAAATTATCGATAAAAAGGAAGGAAGGAAAAGTATCGAGCATCGATTTTTGTGAACGCTAGAAGAAGAAGTAGGCCTGGGTAACGGCGCAAATTTTTTGGCGCTGGCGCACTAACTCCAGCGCCACTGTCGGAATCAGCACAGTGTGTTGGCGCAATTGCGCCTCTTCAGGCTAAAGCTCATTTCCTTTATTGCTGCACGCTGCACCAAAGTTAATTAATACAAGGTGATATCGGTTGAGAAAAAACTCAAGTATACCCAAGTTCAAAACCCAAAAATACAACAAACCCATCATTTTCACATTCAGAAGGACCGCGACGAATTCTAGCAACACCACCTTGTATAAATTCGCCTTGTGCTGCACATTTTACAAGAGACACTTCTATTTCGGGTGTTCTTTGCTGGTTCTTTGCGACACCCGGTGTTGTCAGTGTTCCGGTGTTGCTGGCGCCATTGCGTCACTGAGTTGTGAAAATCGGTATCGGCGCCAGTAACGCAGCTCTCGGTATCACCACAATGGCGCGGCGCCGCACTTTGTTACCCACGGCTAAGAAGAAGCAGAATATAAAAAAATTTTGCGAATTTAGCCGGATTTTGTGTAGTTCCGTAAAAATTTGTGAGTTTTTGGTATTTCATTTAAATTTTATCTTAGGAGATAATACTAATATATTAAATGTAACATTGTTTACAATAGTTACAAGGAATTTCAACGAATGTATGCATAAATCTCGTGCAGTTGAACTTGACCTTGAGATGGAGTTGTGCAATAGTGCCTTTGAAGTTGTGTGTTACAGGTGTTTTTTGTTTATTTGTTTTGCTATTTGCTCACTAGCTAGGATGATATGAATTATCTGGAATTTTTTTGGAACACATCCAGATAGCCAACCGTCCAGCTATGGGAAAACTAAAAATGCAGACCGATAGTACTTTTTGCGCTGATTTCAACTATATAAATATTATTTGCCGCAATTAAAAAGTAAAGAAGATATAAAAGGTTAAAGAAAATTTTTGTGATATTTTAAAATATTAATATTTTCTAAACTACGTAACCGATTAAAAAAGTAATGATCTCAAACTAAAGACAATTAATCTATCTTTAAGTTGATATATAAAATGTGTTTGCTTGCTTATATATTTAAGCCAAAAATATTAAAAAACAAATAAAATGTTATAATTTTTTCATAAAATTACCCTTTTTAGGAAAAAGTGCATAATCAATGCTAGAGACATATATATTATTTGGAAAGTGCAAGTTCTTACCTTTAATGTGATATACATATTTTATTATGATCTACTTTTGAGGTTTAAGAATTCAGTAATTAAAAAAATTAAAAGCATTTACAAGCAAGTGACAAGCAAGTGTGGGTGATATCATAGTTTCTTTTGCCCAGAACTTGTTTCTGCGTAGGCGGCCTTCGGCCGCGCTTAGGGATCATAACCCTTACAAAGTAGAATTCTCCTTTCTGTATTGCCGAAGAAGCGGAGCTGAACACATTTTGCAGAGAACACATTTCTGTGTAGGCGGCCTTCGGCCGCACTTAAGGATTATAACCCTTACCAAATAGAATTCTCCTTTTGGTGTGCATCAACTGGGGCTACCGCCCCAAGCGAAAAAACGCAAATGAAAATTGTGATTTTTGGCAATTTTTCTAAGGGACCATAGGGGACCTAGGTGGTCGGGGGTTGCATTTTTGTCACTGGCGGTTCATTCCATCTCCAAAAAGGTGGGTTAGAGGTGCCACGCCCACTTACCTTTCGCTCACCGCCCCTTTAACGAACGGTCATAATGGAAAGCCAACCCGTTTAATTAACTAAATACAATATGCATTTGCACATACATGCATTTATATTTTTTATTATCACTGAATTCTGAAAACTCAAAAGCAAATCATAATATAATATGCATATCAAATTAAAGGTAAAAACCTGCTCTTTCTAAATAATATACATTTTTTTAGCATTGATAATGGACTTTTTCTAAAAAAGGTTATTTTATAAAAAAAATTATGACATTTTTTTTGTTTTATAATATTTTTGGCTTAAATATATAAAAAAGCATACACATTTTATATATCAGCTTGAAGATAAATTAATTGTCTTAATTTTGACATCATTACCCTTTGAATCGGTTACTCAGTTTAGAAAATATTTATTTTTAAAAATATCATAATTTTTTTGTTTTACATTTTATATCTACTTTACTTTTTAATTGCGGCAAATAATATTTGTATAGTTAAAATCAGCGTAAAAAGTACTATACTTTTCTATAGCTGAACGGTTGGTTATCTTGATGTATGCCATTTTTTTTCAATATCGAAAAAATGGTTGTGAAAATCATTTAATTATCATAATTAACAATGACTAAGCATTGCAAAAAATTCGTACACTGGGAGTCACATAAATTATGTTGCACGGTAGAGGTCGCTTTAATTATCCTTATCAGCACCACTCTTAAGCAATTTACTATGCACTATCAGCACTCGTTTGGGGTCTTATCTCATATGATTTAAAAAAAAAAAAAACAAATTAACAAAGTAACAAACACATTTTTTGCTGATTATCTTACCAATTTACTTTGTATTTAATAAACTGTCCACGCGCAATTTCATTCAGTTTTACTTTTCTTCTCAAACAGATTGCAAATAAAGTTAAAATGGCATTGCGTTGGGGTATCGTCTCTGCGGGCAAAATTAGCCATGATTTCGCTGTTGCTCTGAGCACATTACCAGCGAGTGACCACAAACTTGTTGCGGTGGCTGCACGCCAAAAGGATCGGGCTGAGGAATTTGCTAAGTTACATGAAATTCCAAATGCTTTTGGCAGTTATAAGGAGTTGGCCGAATTCGCTGACGTGGGTAAGTGTTATTAAAAATTGTTATAGCTACATATGTACATACAAAATTTTTCAAGTGCGCTATTAAGTTCGATTTAAACAGTACTCACTCATTTTATTTTTGTATGTGCACTGCTATGTGACTGCTCGTCTTTGCAAATTGCGGCCGAACTATGTGCAATCGAAGTTAAGGTTTGGATGAAGTGCTGATTATTTAAAAAAAAAAGTTCATCAAAATGCTATTTATTTGATATTCTGATTATTTCTAAAGCCACTTGAAAATATGTATGTATTTGTATTGAACTTGCACTCGACAATACATTATCTAGGCTTTCCCATAATTGCAAGGAACATTTTCGTTGCGCTGGGTATAGAAGAGATAACTTTATATTTGATATTTTTTAAAATTGGTTGGCTTTCGTAAATTTTATATTAATAAACATCTAAGCCAAGAATACATTTCTCGATATTATAAATATTCCATGGAAAATGCAAGCGACTTTACACTCCCTCTCTCTACGAAAAAAAATAAAATATTTAGAAAAAATATAATAGGGTTATTCTCAACCTATTCGATATGCTATATTTGGCCAAGGACCGTCACTCCAGCATAACTCGCCAAAAACTAGAGAATTTGTATGCTGTTACAACAAGTCGATTTATTCCTTTTAAGCTATATTAATAACCTTATCTATGTGTATTCCCCTTCAGATATTGTCTACATTGGCGCCTTGAACCCACAGCACTTGGAACTTTCTTCGCTATACCTTGAACATGGCAAGCATATATTGTGCGAAAAGCCACTATGCATGAATTACAAGGAAGCGAAGCAGCTTACTGATCTCGCCAAAAGCAAAAAACTTTTCCTTATGGAAGCAATTTGGTCACGTTTCTTCCCAGCTGCTCAATATTTGCGCCAACAGATCAAGAGCGGTGCATTGGGTGAAATCAAAGAGGTGGAAGTGGCATTTGGTTTTGATTTAAGTCATGTTGAACGTTTGACGTGAGTGTATTTAAATTTGAAAGCAAATTTGCCTTTAAGATTTATTAACTTTCCTTCTTATGATCTAACAGAAAAAAAGATTTAGGCGGTGGTGTTGTGCTCGACTTGGGTGTCTACACCATACAGGCTTCACAGTGGGGATTCCAAGAAGCGCCCGAAAAAATCGTGGCAAAAGGCGAACTCAACGAAGAGGGTGTGGATAAATATGTGGACGCCGTACTGCATTACTCAGGTGGGCGCGTTGGCAAATTAATCTTTGGAGGAAAGGAACAGTTGGCGAATAAGGCAGTCTTCAAGGGCAGCAAAGGCGAGATCACGGTAGGATTTCGGTTTATCTAAAATGTTTGAGTTCTTTAGTAAAAAAAAACAAAAATCTTAAACACGCAGCTAATCGATTTCTGGTGCCCCACCAAAATCATCGATATCGATGGTAAGGAGAAGGTATGGTCCTTGCCTAAGGGCAAACTGGCAACCAAATACAAGGATTCCGAAGGTTTGCGGTACGAGGCTGAGGCTGCACGTCAAAGTATACTAAAATCTGAAATCGAAAACGAGAATGTTACGCACAATGAGAGTTTGATTATTGCCAAAGTGCAGGATGAGATTAGACGTCAAATCGGTGTTGCCGTGCCAGAGGCTTAGAAGTAAATAAAAATGCATTTATATATTCATGCTTCTGTATGCATATAAACTGCCAGGCGCGGTATGTGCTTGAGTGTTTGTGATAGTGAATTATCATTGTTTTTGGTTTTAAAAGTGCATAGCATTCAAATCACCTCTAAATAATAGAGCGCATACTTGTATAACAGGGATGATAACCTTTTTTATTATAAACATTTTTGTTATATTATTTTACTGACATTGTATGTAATTTGCTTATACGGGAATATATATATATATTATCAATAACGAAAAAATAAAATAATATTTACATATATAAGTTGCGGCTAATATATTCAATGCACTCTTCAAGATTGCTACCATTGATAACCACACACCGATGCACCAAATCAAACCCACTTTTTTGGTTTGCAGTGATTTCGTCGCTGCTATTTTGCATTAGTTTACCAACGTACGTGTAGCGCGCAACTCTATCTAAATAATTCGAAAATATACTTGTACACAAGAACGAAAAATGCCTGTGCTTAAGTGGGGTATTGCAGCAGCTGGGCGCATAACGCATGACTTTGTCACAGCATTGTCCACCATTGAACAAAGCCAACATATGGTGGTCGCTGTGGCCGATGTGGAAGAGCACCGTGCTAGAGATTTTGCTAAACGTCATGAAATACCTAAATACTACGATGGCTTCGATGCCCTTTCTCTGGACGCCGAAGTCGATGTGGTCTATGTGGGCACTCTAAATCCTTTCCACTATCGCGTAGTGCGTCTAATGTTGGAGCGTAGCAAACATGTGTTGTGTGAGAAACCATTGTGCTTGAGCGTGCGGCAAGCTGAAGAGCTTTATCGTGTAGCAAAGGAACGTAACGTATTCCTCATGGAAGGTGAAGCACAACAATAAGTTTAATAGTAGTGTGTACTATTATGTTTTCTTTTGTTTCTTTCCCCACCACAGGCATGTGGTCACGCTGCTTTCCCAGCTATGCGCGGTTACATGAACTCTTGCTTGCCGATTGCATCGGTGAGGTGACACACATACAAGTGCAACATGGTTTTCGTGCGGATGTGGAACGCATCTTGCAGCGCTCACTTGGCGGTTCCATTACGCTTGATATTGGCCTTTATGCATTGCAGTTGGGTCAATTCGTCTATGGCTGTGCTCCCATTGGCATCAAATGCAATGCACAACTGAACAGTGATGGTGTCGATGTGGAAAGTGAATTCATATTGGATTATGGAAAGAATCGAAAGCTCGCTGCATTCATATCGGGTTTGGAAAATTTGGATAATTGCGCGAAATTGTTGGGCACCAAGGGTGAAATCAAGGTTGGTTATTTGCAGCTATCGAGTGCATGGTGTATTTCTTTATCAGTGCATATTAATATGGCCGATTGGCTGTTGATAAGCGATAATGTAAGCACCGGCTAACTGCTGTTAACAACAGCGACCACTCTAAACTGTGTTGCGGCGTGCTGCAAGAGTTATGATTAAATTCGTGTTATCAGCCAGCAGCAACACTTTATCAGCAGTTAGTCTAATGCTGTTATGAAAACAAATCCGGGTTTGACGTAACAAGCATACGTCAGCGGTGGGAAAAGTGCAAATAAATGTGCAACAAAAGCAATACTTATCAGTTGACGGGGAAAGAAATTGAAAAATAATTAACTTTTGAAAAAATGTTTTGTATGAAAATTTTTAAATCTTTTAGTACAGCAATGTAGTTCAATTCATTACCTTTTCAAAGATACCAAATTTTTGTAAATGAAATAACTATTAGAAAACTTATGAAAAATTTTGTTGACCCATGTTGATGACTTTTTCACTTTTTGCCACGCCCATAATTTGCAGGAAAAAATTAAAAAAAAAAAATTTGTAGGACCATTTCCGTCAGTTTTAGTGTGAAATTAAACAATTTGCAAAGTTTGAGCCAAATCGAAGCCCATCGCGCAGAAAATCAAAACTTTTTGTTACGTTTGTTACAAAAAATTTAATTTTGGCGACATATTTTTATAATATTTGAATTTTTCTTTTTTTTTCATTTTTTTCATTTTTTTTCGTTTTGGGAGAACCCTACAATTGTTTTCAACTAGTTTTTATTGTGTAACATTTATTAACTGGAACAGGATAATCATTTTATTCAAAATTGCTACTTTTTCTGCACTGCACTAAAAAGTTCAATACAAACACAAAAATTCAAAAAAATCGGGCTCAACTGGTCTCTTGAAAATAAAAAAAAATCTCAAATTTAGTGAAAAATAAAGGCTCCAGTAGATTGTGAACACAAAATGGCAATTTTGAACCACTGTGCGATGGAACGATAGTTGTATGAGCTTCCCAACGATAAAGACGTAGTGCAGCGAATAAAAATCCTGCAGCTACGCTAGCTTGGCCATGTTCGAATGAATACCGACGCTACATTCAACTCGGAACACGCTGGTGGTAGCAGAGGAAGAGGGAGGCCAAAAATTAAATGAAATTAATCAAATAAATTTCTTTTTAAAACCAAATGTAAAGATTGAAAAAATGTATATCAAAGAAAAAAAATTAATAAAACACAAAATAAAATATAAAAATAGATAAAACAATAAGTTTCCAAAAATTAAATGAAATAAATTGAAATAAAAACATTTCTCTGTTTAAAACAATTAAGTCTAAATAAATTAATAATAATTAATAAAAGAATAAAAATGAAAGAAAAGTTGATTATCATTGCTTTCTTCGCACAAATACTAAGAAGAGGGCAATGGAAAGGCAAAATTTTTTTTAGAAAAGAAAACGCAATTAAAAAGAAAAAACGGTTTTTGTTTTTATTTGATTTAATTTTTAGAAACTTATTTTCTTTTATAAATTTAATTTCCTAATAATACGAATCAAATCTAAAAATTGAAAGAAAATTAAATTGAAAAAGGTTTTTTTAAAACTAAATGAAACTAAAATGAAAACATATATCTTTTAAAAATAATCAAATATAAAAACGAAAAGAAAAATAAATTAAAAAAAGAAAAAAAATAATTTAGAAAACGAAAAAATTAAATAAGTTCCTAAAAATTCAATTAAAAGAAGAAAAAACAGTTTCTAATGAAATTAAAAAGTTAAAAGACAATTAAAATATAAATAAAATAAAAAATAAAAAATAAATTTCTAACAATAAACTAAAAATGAAAATTATGTATATGTATAAATATATTTTTCTTTTTAAAACAATAAAATCTAAAAATTAAATTAAAAAAAAAATTCGGCTGCCCGAAAATTCGAACTTTGGATCTCTCGAATGGCACGCCAGTCTTTTGCTCACTTGGCCAAAAGACTTTCAACTACGAGTATCTTAGCCAGAATTGCGCTGTAAAGATTTAACCCCTCGTTTTCGCGAAAATTCCGGCTGCCGAGATAGCTCGATCTTCCACTCAGCTGTCGAGGTGTTTTATAAAATAAATATGAAAAATATTAGTAATAAAATCGTATCCATTTACATAACAAATTACATACCCATCCTTTCCTCAGCTCAATAACTACTGGTGCTGCACATCGCTGACGAAGCCCGGCAATGCAACGGAATCTTGGCCATTACCCGCTGCTAAATTCGAATTCAATCACACTAATTCCTGTGGACTACGCTATGAGGCGGAAGAAGTGCGCAAATGCATCGAGAAACGTTTGCTGGAATGTCCATTGTATACGCATGCGCAAAGCCTAGAACTAATACGCATCGAAGAGGAGATACGTAGGCAAATAAATGTAAACTATGATGACGTATTGTGCTTGGATTTATGAGAATAGGACACGGTAAAAATGGGCTACTGGAAAGAAATTAGTTTAGATCATCATCGTCTACTTTGCTCAAGAATTTGTAATGAGATTGGAAACCGAGCACAACCCTTACAGGAATTTGTTCATTTCTTTTTATTATTATTAATCTAAATAGTTTATAACTATGTTTATTCGATTCGTGTTATGCAGTTACTGTTACATATATTACAGCTACATACATAAATTTATGCAAATATGTACCTACTGTATAATCTAAATATACATACATACACTTGTGATCAGCTAATTAAGCCAGCAACATTTTGATAAATTTTGGCTATTTTTCTTTTGTTTATTTAATGTTTATTATTTTTTCATGAAACTCTAGCTTATTTTATAGCAAACACCAATATAAATCCACATTTCAAACTTTTTACAAAAATTATAAAAAAATCTGTAAACTTTCAGCTAAATTTTAAACTTTTTATTGAGATTTTTTAGAATTTTTTATTTTTATTTTTTAGTATGCATAGCCTATTAAATACCAGGGTAACACTGTGCAAGTTTTAAGTTGCTGAATAATCGCGCTGATTTTTAATTAACCTTTTCTGACAAAAATATATTCGACAATTTTTTTTTTTGTGTGGAAAAAATGCGTAATGCAGTCAGAAAAAAAATTATTAAAAATCAACGCGATTCTTTACCAACTTAAAACTTGCTTGAAACTTCCCAGATTTTTTATAACTTTTGCACAAAGTTCGAAATGTAGATTTATATGGTGTTTGATACATAATAAGTTAGACTTTTATGAAAAAATAATAAACATTAAATAAACAAAAGAAAAATAACCAAAGTTGATCAAAATGTTGTTGGCTTAATTAGCTGATCACAAGTGTATTTTTTTTATTTTTTTTTATTCGGCTTATATTTTTGTTAATTAGGTTGTTTTTACTTTGCATTTTCAAATGTCTTAAATTTATTACATACACAAATTACTATCCTTTATGTACCGAAGCTGCTGTAATCACTAAATATTTTATTATATTTTGTTATATTTACAAAACTTATCGAAAGTGAATACTTAGTATGTTTCTAATAGAGTTTGTGTTAAAAAATTGCCAATTTTCGAAATTAAAAACAAATTTCCGTTAAACTTAGTTTACTTGCATTTTTATTAAACACTTTTTCGCCCGAGATTTTAAACTGGAAACGAATATACGGGCACAAAATTTCTAAAATATAAAAATTCTAAAGTTGACTTCACAAATTGAAGACAACTTTCTTTTTTAGTTTTACAAAACTCGAGGTAGCCACTCGAAAATTCGACATCAAATTAATTGGTCCCGGTTTTCAAGACTTTGAATAAATATTAAACCTTTTTCGACGTAAGGTTTAGTTTTAATAACTAAGATTCGAAATTCGAAAAATTAAATTTCGAAGATTCAATTTTTTTTATCTCCATATGTCGAGCGCCAACCTTTAAAAAAACGTATGCGATTTTTTTTTTGCTTTTTGAAGCAGAAATGACCCTAGAACAGCTACGTGTATTTCTGCATCAAAAAGAAAATTTTTAAAAAATTTCGCTCTCTTTTTTTCGGTTAGGTTTCGATATTTTGTCTAGTTTTATGAAATTTTCTGAAACAAAACGGTAGATTGATAAAGTTCACCGAAATTTTCGTGCGTTTCTTAGCATTTTTTAGTTTAAGGCGCCATCCATATTATATAAAATTTTGTTCCTCAATTTCTACCCTCGAGTTTTATACTACTTGCATTAAAATGCTAGTATGAAAGGGGTTGCGGTCGGCGTTGCCACAGAAGTGAAATATCTGGGTCTTATCCTGGTTTTCAAACTCCGAGGAGGACTCGCGTTGAAGCGGCCACCTCTAAAGCTACGAAACCTCTGATGGTGTGCAAACGTCTAGCGGAAAAATCCTGGGGTTGCACCACAAGTATCCTAAGTTGGACAAACACCATATTAGTACGACCAGTAGTAACCTTTGGGGCAGGGCATCCAGGACTACTCTGGCAACGGTGAGGCAGACCCTTACCAATATTCAACGGCTGGCGTGAGTCTGCATTACGGGGGCAATGCGCACATGTCCGACGGCAGTGCTGGAGGTAATTCTGGAACTTGAGTCATTGCAGCTTTCAGCTGTACAAGCTGCAGAGCGAACGGAGTACCTCCGTCAAAGAGAGACAGGTCTAGGCGTTCACACTAAAGTGGAATACAGATGGCTCTAAAACTCCTGAGGAGATTGGAGCAGGCGCTTACGGCCACAGACTGAAGCTCTCGATGCCCCTTTGGACCTTACCAAGCATCTTTCAAGCGGTCGTCTATGCCATTAGCTTGTGTGCTGAGATTAACCTTCGGCGGAAGTATCGCAGCGAGAGGGTCCTAATTTTAAGCGACAGCCAAGCGACACGCAAGGCTCTTATCCTTCTAGATCAAAGCCTAAGTGGTTTTGGAGTGTGTACGGAGGCTTAATGCTCTGGCTGAAACCAATAACATCCAATTGCTATGGGTACCAGAGCACATGGGAGTGGAAGGAAATGAGGAAGCGGATCAGTTAGGCAGACTGGCTGCTGCCTCGACCCCGATAGGACCGGAGCCTGGTCTTTCAATAGGTCCCAACCGTATAAATGAAGCGCTCAGGAAGGAAAACACCAAACTATGGGGATTCCGCCGAATCAAAAGCTTACGCAGGATGCGTTCTGATGCCGCACAATTTCTGGTAGCTACTACCACAGGAAGCGTCAAAGCATTTGCTTGAGACAGAACCTCAAGCTAGGCACGTAAGAAAGCATCTCTTCGAATATATGGGCGGTATGCAAACACACCTAACACAGCCGAGGAGGCCGATGGCGTATCGGAAAGCACTAGCGGCATCCATAGATAGTTCGTCGCCAGCTTCAGTGACACTCGACCTATGAATGTCGCTATAGCAGCCCAATTACCACCAATAACAGAGGCGCCTTTTTTTGTGTTGTATGTTAAGCTATGGAATTAAGACACAAACAATAGGCACATCTGAGATAGAATAGTTTGTCTGACAGCGCTGAGTTAATATAAAGTTAGGATAGTTCATCGAGGTAAGATAGTCTTTCGCACGGCCTTCAAGAAATGATATATTGACTAAACAAAAAATATGTCAAAGTGTATCGATGTAACCTTCTCGTGATAAATAAAACAAAATTTAGGAGCTTGAGAATTTTAATAGTAAAAATTTTACAATATTTTGACTTTAAATCTGGTAAATTTGGCATATTATTGAAGCTTATTTATAATTTTTGCGATTTTGAAAAAAAAAATATTAAAAAATTTTCAAGCCCCTATAATTTTAATTTTTGTGTGTCTTTATTTTGTACGTTAAACAAAATAAAACGGTGCCCCATATGTTGATGCTTTAAGGATTATTTAAGATAAATTTTTTCGATCTTTCTTGCGTTCTTATAGCCGTTTTAAATCAACTGCAGCGGAATTTACTTTTAGAAAATCATTTGTTTTTAGTGTGGAAAAAAAACAGAGTTCCACAATTTCTTCCGGCGTTTTGTTTGTTTAGCCAACGAAAACAAGTCTTAAGTTTTCTAAAGTCCGATCTCTTTTTGAATGAACTGACCATTAAATTTCAATTAAAATTTTTCAAAAACCAAGTTTTTCTTGGACATAGTAAGTGTGGACCAACTATGTAACAATTGCTGCCATATTTCAGCCTTGTTGCTTTCTTGATGCTCCGTTACTGATGATCAGCTGGAAATCTTGAAATGCTGCAGAAATCGCACAGTAAAAATGTTTATATTGTATTTGATTTGCTAGTGATGAGCAACGTATTATCAATCTTTCATTCCTCGAACGCAGAGTCGCCCAAATATTCGCGTATTGCCACCCATCGACTATTTGAAGCTGAACTCACAGCTATAAAGTAGGCTGCCCAGTGGCTGAAACTTCAGAACTGATTTTGAATAACCTATTCGCCTAATTTAGATATCCAGAAAGCTCCACAGAAATTGGCAACTAAATACACAACCAAGGATGCCAGATGACAAGGGTATTTTAGGTATCTGCAAGCCGCTGACTTAACTCGAGCTTAAGACAAATTTCTTCCAGCTGGCTAATAAAATATGGACTGTAGCACCACCGTATAGGGTACCAACAGAACCAATGCTATTTGCAATTGGAATAATTCCAACTCTGGCTGATTATGGGTCACTGCTTTATGTGTCTTTGACGTTGAAGAAGTCGAGAGCAGCGAACACTTTCTTTGCCACTGTCGATATTGTTGTTGTAGCAGCATACAAATTCCCCAAAGAGTTATGGGGAATACAGCTGGAATTGCAGTCCTTGGCCGTATATAGATCTGAGTCATTCGGATTGCCACTACCGTGGTCTGGCAGCGCAGTCTGTATCAGTACTTTTACTACTGTCTTTCCGAATTAAAAGCTCGTCGAAAATTTGCGAACTACCACTCTTCATGAGGAAAACTGCTCTGATATATTTTAACACATTTTCTACAATAGTTAGTGCAAAACAGTTTGCGAATGTTTTCCAAATACAAAATAATACATAAACAGGCAGGTTTTACAATTCACTTCCGAGTGAATTTCAATCAAATTCGCGACTTGCATATGTCACTTCTGTGACTCCGCCAAGGAGATATCAATACACCTTCTTTTGGGATGTGAGGCCGTTTCAAAAGCACTCCCTACTCGCGGCATCTATTCGGAAATTTATAGTCTCTAGGGCTAGCTGAGGTGTTGTGAGGAGCTCAGAGCATAATAGGCCGACTGATCGCAGTTTTTACACGAAAGTGGGCAAACTCAAAAGCATACTTATGGCGTTTCCATCTCTAGCACAAATATTGCCTTCTTCTTAGTATTGTGTGAGAAGAGGATAATGAGGTAGAAAGAAAACATCATTAGTATTTCATAAAAATTTTAGGGTTTCAATACTTGCGAAGTTCTCCGAATAGTTAAAAAAGCCGTTAAAATTTTATGTAGAGCTTTGGAGTTGAACTTATTTCAAGATTATGTGTAAAAGAATTCCTGGTGTTTTCTACAATTCCAATAATTTGCAAAACCGAATTTATTTGAATGCCATCTTTATTTTCAGAAGCTTTGTTTATATGTATAATTTCCGTCGCTGTATCTTTAGTAGTTATAAGCGAATTTAAAATTAACACAAGTAAAACTTAAATAAACACTAAATAAAAAAGGAAAATGAATGAAAAATTAAAAGAAAAACTATAAATTTTGGAAATTATACTATACCCATTTTAGTTTGAACATACGACAATTACATATTATGCAGTATGCGTATACATATTTAGGCATAGTTTAAAATGAATATATTATTAACTTGTATTATACATTGATTAACACTATTATATAAAGTATGTATGCGTTAATATTAAAAAGAAAAAGTGTTAATTAATATTTGTTGCAATTTTCCATTGTGTAAGCATATGTGTAGGTGTTTTTATACAAATTCTATACATAAG